TTATTAAAAAGTATTTAGGACGTGTCCAGCAAAAAGGTCATTTAAATCAAATCCAAATTTACGTGTTACTTAAATTTAAAATTAATTAATGTAGCTCGCTGGAGAATCATATTATTCTGGGAAAAATAAATATATTTAGAGAATAAATATATATTTGTATTTGTTTGCCAAATTTATAAGTTCAATTTCATTCGACCTAATTTCACACCTGCTGAGTTGATAGTTGTTCGATGGTCTTTGGTTCGTTTTGGCATTAATAATGCATGTCGAGAATTTCTTAAAGGAATGTTCAAGGAATCCTCAAGGAACTACAAGAGACTGTTTTCCTTATTTGCCTTCTTGTGCCAGTTCGTAATTCCATTTCGCTTTTCTTGAAAAGTCAGTCCGCCAGGCTCAAAGCTGCTAATGGAACTAGTTATTTAATGTCTTAACTTTCATAATTAGTTCCAATGCAAAAGAAGTCTCGAGTAGAGCTTGAAGTGAACTCGGTTTACGACGACGCCAATCAAAGCCAAACTGTAAGCCAATGCACCACCCGCCTCTCCACCCCCTCTGAGTCACTGCATACACTTCACTAGCCTTTGGAGTATTTCAGTTCATTGTATAGCTTACTTTACCTTATTTGGCTGCGTTTCCTGCAGGCCTCATTAACCTTTTCGCTCAGCCCATTAATTGTCTTCTTTGTTAAGCATTGCCACGCCCACCCATTACGCAGCGCTAACAAACAATTTAATCGGGACAGCAGCGGCAACAACAGCAGCAGGAGGAGGAGGAGCAAGAAATTCTCTCTGGACGCCAAGTGCAAATAATAGAAATTCATTGCCAAATTGCATAGAAAATCGTTGAGAGGACTTGTAAGGCCTTGGCGCCTCGGGCAACTTGGCAGCGCTTACCCAAGTAACTTTCTGAGGCATCGTTTTAATTACCGCAAACGGTGGCAGTAAGCGCATTACGTATACGCCACGTTGCAGCTGCCGATAGAATCGCATTTAATGCAAGTTAATTAAAATGCGTCGCCTTTTGCTTAAGTTCACACAGCTCGCTCTTTAATTAAAACTTAATTTTAGGTTGCCCTCGAACTGCATTCTATTGCAACGCCTCACGCACGTATTGCGCCCTCGATCCAATCTATATATTCTGACACGCGGGTATAGACGCCCGGCCAACCCTCCAGTCCGCAGCGATTGCCAAACGAGACGACGCCCTCCAGATACCACGCCTCCCTGTAACGCATCAGAGGTCCACCAGAATCGCCGTCGCAGCTGTCTCGCGAGAAGTCGCCGCCGGCGCACAGTTGCGAGCTGATCACATTGATTCGCCGAGTGGCGAATTTCTCCGCACAGTAATTGGGATCAGCGACGGGCACATCCAGACGTTGCTTAATATTACTCTGACGCGCTGCAAAGAGAATGAGAGAGCATAAGTGCTTTATCTTGATTTGTACTCTACGTAAACTACAAAATGCAACTTTCAATAGGAACAAAAAAATTCCCTAAAATTTGATACATTTTCCCATTTTCTTAAAGCTCGATTGTGGTTAGAATACTTTGAGCTCGAATATAAAACTCACTCAGTAGCGTGCGTCCCCAGCCGCTGACAACGAGCAGCTCCTGGTTGTTGATGGCAGCTCGAGCGTTGGCCAATGGCAGACAAACTGGTTGGATGTACTCATTGAGCTCGACAGGTGTATTCAGACGTATGAGCGCAATGTCGTGATGACGATCCCGACTGTTGCCATCGTATTGCGGATGCACGATGACCTCCTCGACGCCAACCTCCAGAACGGGCTTATTGCAGACGCCCTTCACGCAGTCCACCTCCTTGCTGAGATCATATTCGCCCAGGCGCACACGGTTGCTGCAGAGGAATTAGGATTGGGTTAATAGATGAAGAATATTGTTGAGCCACTCACAGTTGTCCCACTTCGGTCTCGATTGCGCCCGTGACGCAGTGGGCAGCGGTTAGGATATAGCGATTGTTGATCAAGCTGCCGCCACAGTTGAGAAGTGTTTGGCCATCGCCTGGTAAAGAAAAGGTTAGGTAATACAGCTAACGGTGACTACAAATGAAAGCTAATCAAAGCACTTACGACTTCTGTACTCAAGCAATGCCATCCACACAAAGTCATCTAAAGCTGTATCGTTGCCGTTGTAGACCCGGTCGACGAACGAGTTCGGGCCGCACGCAGGAGCATGCGGCAGCAGGCTGCCGCCCGACTGTCCGCCTTCTCTATTAGTGGGCGTGGTCTGGGGCCTTCTTGTTGTGGTTGTTGTTGTTGTTACCTCAACTGTTCTGCCTGTTGTTGTCTGGCGATTCGCGTAGTTCGTATCAGGCGTGCAGCACACAAATGGCCGACGACCGAATCCATTCTCGCACTGGGAATCCCGCAGGAACAGGCGCTCATCGCTGCTCAGCAAGATCTGCTGCAGCACGTTCAGCAGGCTGGGACAGTCGTAGATCGATATGCAGATGCCAGCATTTTGATTTGGATTGCGGCAATCTACAATTCAAGAATTATATTTAATAATGTTAAAAAAGAACGATTTTAAGAAAATATTTAAGTTTACAACATTTTATCGTGCAGCTCTTGATGATTAGCATATCCATATAAGGTTGAGTTTGGTAATTCAGTCAGGCTCTTGTTTTTAAAGTACAACGATGTATGACCAATTATTGGGATAGGTAAATCTGGGACTTATCCAAATGGCTCCATGGAAGAGCAATCTATTTTTAATCTCATTTTTGTACAATCCAAAGTGCAAACACAGCCAAAGGGACATGTCTTATTAATAATGTCTCTTTCGAAAATACAATCAGTTGAGAGTTGAGTACAAATAAAGGCAGTTGCATTATATTTATAAATCCAGTCGAAGTTTGTATATATAGATATAATATCAATTATGGCTAATTTTGAATGGTTTTGAAGACATTGCAATCCAGATAAATGCTCTTCTCCACTTATAGATTATTTAATTTCCAAATATTCCAAATTATTTTCTAATGTTTCAGAACTGAAAAAATAAGTTTCCAACAGCCATACAAAAAAAAAAAACAAGTAAGAGGTTCTAGTCGGGAGCTCCCGACTAGGGGATACCCTGAACCCTCTTCTTCCAACATCAAATGCATATATATATTCTATTTTAGAAGCTATATGACTCTAGCTCTTATTATTTATTATTTGTGCTGCTATTTTAATTTTTTTTATTTTGTTTTCTCATTAAGAATGAATAATTGGTGTGGCTGTTGGGTAGAGGCAGAGACAAGTAGCGCGGTCTTGTGCAAGTTCGATCCATACAAGGAAAACTATTTTTATTATTTTTTTGGCTGGTGTGGCTGATGAGTATGTGCGGCGGCAAGTAATGCGGCCAGTCACGAGTTCGAGCCCTGCCAAGGAAGTTTTTCTTTTTAATTTATCTTTATTATATAAGAGGGTTTAGGGTATTCCCTAGTCGGAAGCTTTCAAATATATAATAAAAAAATTACAACACAAATAAAGTTTATAAGCTGCATTTGAATGAAGGCATTTTTAGTCTATTTGCAAGCCAATGCTGCTAAGGCTTTTGGGTAAAAAATTTTCCTTGTTATACCAGTAGTTTATGTTAATTATGCTTAACTAAATACAGAATAATTTTTTATAAAAATATTTATTTAGCTTCTATATTAAAAACAAGATCGATCAAAGGTTTTGCAAATAAATACAGGTCGCAATCTACTTTAGAAGCAAAACAAAAATCTTGAAAAATCTATTTAAAAATATGCAAAATTCGCGCGAAGCTCTTATCAATAATTTATTTGTATAATTGGAATGTTTAATGAATATATTTAAGTCGTTTATGAATATATTCACATATAGTACATAGAAAGCAAGGCGTAAAGCACAATTAAGTTCCCATTTTCAAACATTCGCAATAATTGATATAAAAGCCAATATGCAATACATTAATGACATTTTTGTTGTTTCAATATTTTCAGCTCGCTTGTAATAAAAATGATTGTCAAATCCAAAAGTCGAATCATTAGGTTTGTCAATGAACCAGACTACGAGTCGAAAGTGAATAGCCTGTCATTCACTTTCTCAGATTCAGGGCGCCAAAGTGAGCACAGAACTCAAAGCTTATAATCAATTATAATTAATGCTTATTTGCTGATAGCCGGAGACAGGGACGGGCCCAGCCAGAGATATGGATGCGGAGATTGGGGCGGCTGTCGAGTCATAGAGTCAAGTTCACAACGTGTGATTCACTTAAAACCCGTTAATTGCGCGCATTGTACTAACTTTGTTGTGCGTAAACTGTGCGCTGCAGCAGCGCTGCGATGAGCAGAAATTCCAGAGATCTTTGAGTTGATATCATATCGGGAAATAACACTAAAGTGCAGTAATCATACGAGAATTTATATGGTTCTGTTAGACAAAAATTCACATTCGATTTATATATGCACGCGACTCGACCTTGACGCGGTCACTAATCGAGTAGAACTGATTTCAGTGACAGCTGAGGCGGATCTTTAAATAGCGCGAGAGAACTTTGTGGCAGCCGATCACTGACTGTGCTCGCTCCCAAAACTGTTGTTAAGTGTGAGAGAGCATTAAGACGGCTGTGTGAGCTTTGAGCGAGGATTTGCGTTAATGCTGCTGCTAGAGTGGGAGCTTGGGAGAGTGAGTGTTAGGCGAGAGTATGAACTGAAATGGAAGTGGAACAAGAGTGGGAGCGAGAAAAGGAGCTGAAATGAAGGCGCGCACAGTAGATTTAATGTGAGAGCGAGCGTGGGAAGAAGCTTTCAAGAGTGACTTAACGGCAGACAAGCTCAAAAGCAGCCACTGCACACAACTACAAACAAATAAGAAATATGATTAGTATTCAGATAAAAGTTTTTAAGATATTACGTTGTTTGCATAATAATGCATGCATTTTCAAATATTATGCCATTGAAAAAAGTTCAACACAGAGCAAATATTACATTAAGCAATATGCTAAGATATACTTAGTATTAATACTCAAATCCAACACTGTACACAGTTAGGAAAATCTTGTAAACAAAATAAAGTAATATATACAATTCAACTATAGACATACACACGTGACTTTATTGAAAATGGCCACAGAAGATGAGCCCGACCCACTGGCACTAGCTTATAGGGAAACAGCTTCGGTGCGCGCGAAGTCATTGTCAAAATTGTATTCTAGGGATAGTACGGCTGGACGTCGAACAACCAACGTCAATGTGCCAAATATGGATCGAAGCGCGTCGCTGAATCGATTCAAAGGCCGCCACGAGCAGGATGGCGAACGACCCAATTTTGCCAAGGGATCTCTTTTACGTTTGTCAGACCATGAGCTCAGGCAGTATCATAATGATGCCGCCGATATGCGCAGTCGTGAGCCCAGCTTTACTAAATTCATGATACCCTAGTGAGTAATCGGGGAGTTGTTGGCTATAGACTTCATTAAATATCCTCTGTATAGTGAGATGATATGCGCCAAACGGTATCAGGATTCAATCAAGGCTTACGAGGCACAACTGGTGCATGAAATCAAGCAAAATGTTAACTTCCAAGGAACTGCAGCCGATGCCTGTTATTTTATGCGGTAAGCTAGGTAGATCAACCGAAATATATGTACGGATATTTAAACATATAAACACCTACGCATATAGATGCATATCGTATACGACATTTTGGCCACCATTGCATAATATGACTGAGGTGAACCGCACGAGCAAGAATTTCTTTAAGCTTACCGAAAAGGAGAGATGGCGCCTGCAGAATATAATGGATACCGATATTACATAAATGTTAAGCCATTTTGTATTTTTTTAAGTGCAAGTATCAATAAAGAATGTGCCATAAAATATACACAAAGGTTTTTAATATTTATCACTCATACGTAGCGTGACTCCAAACAGTCAACATGTCAGCAGGGGTTTGTGGCTTGAGGGGCGCAATGAAAATATGCAATAACTGTGCTCTGATTTTAGTTCCCATCAGAATCATCTGCGTTGCTGTGGCAACTGCTGCCATTCAGTGGCTTAATATTTAAGCTTTCAGTGAGTTGCATGCCACACAAATTCCCCGAATTTTTCTTTGGTTTGTTTGTTTCTTGGGAATTATGGAATGCTCTCAAATTGCTCTTTTAATACCAAAACTAATAAGTATTTGCGTATTATCCATAAAAAGTCAAAAAATATATATTATTTAATAGCAGTCATTCGTCGAATTTCGCAATGAGTTGGTATTTCTGGATTTTTAAAATCACAGCAGAACAATTATTACGCTGAGCATGTCTATAATTGTCGGACCTTTCAGCCATAAAGCTACAGCTTACTTTCTCGTGACGTATGTCAAATGATATATTTATACTATATGTAAAACCGTTTATTTATATAGTAAAATGTGAATTAAATTCTGCCAATTACAACAGCGCAATAAAAATGTGGTCAGAGCGTTTTTCTATATGCACACCTAATATTCATATTCCAAACATGAGCTCACATAGTTGCGTATTGTGTCTATGGTGTTAATGATATAGTACAAAGCTGATAAGTCCAATAAAAGACTAAAAATGAGTCTTCGTATTTGAGCTTCATTTGCTATCAATTTCCATATAAACACAACGCATATGTTTTGCTGCTCCGAACTAACCGTATCAACTATTATGCACATGGAGTGCGTGAGAAACTAGCCCATTTGTCACCTCAATCATAGAATCGTTCCTCGCAACCGAGGGGAAATAAGACCTGACTAAGTAAGCAAATCACACACAAATTACTTAATTCATGAACCTTATTAAGTGCATGGGGCTTCAAAAAAATATTTAAAAAAATCGTTATGTAGTTTTTACATTTTCCTGTTGCCATAGAACCGAAGCATAGCGAATCGGATCATTTGGAAAGTGGTCTACCATTTCAGGCTAGGCTCTGGGTACTCTGCATAGTTTCATCACATAGCCTTTGTTAGGCAAATCCAAGAAAAAATTGTCAAGCTGCTCGGCTTGGTTTACCCTGTAACCGAAACTCACGCTGATAAAAGTTGCTAAAAGTAAAAAGTAACAGAAAATTAGCAAAAATAAAAGTAACTTAAAAGTAAAAAAAAAAAATAAAAAAAAAAAAATTGTAACCGATGAAAATTGATTGGAAATTCATTGGTGTGAATTTGTAGGCTAGGCGGACATCGTTGAGTATATATGTATATTCTTGACCAGAATTACGAGACGAGTCGATATCTGAACATGTCGATTCCAGACTTTTAAATCTAGAGAGAAATTTGTTTTGGAATATTTGTTCTGGCATGTCATAAAAAATTATATAAAATTATCGATTTGGGAAAATGGTATAAAATCGACTGCCTCCCCTTGTCACACCCAAGTGCTAAGGGATGCATCCTCAATTCTAGGCATACTTGCATATTTATATACAATCTGAATTCAGCGGAATCTCTGAAATCAACTGTTTACAGAGCAGCTCCTAGTCGAGCACCTCCTTGCGGGGCACTTCCGGCTAGAGCGCGCTTGGTTTTTGTTATTGTTCTGTTGTTGTTGGCATTGTGCTTTGCCTTTTGCCTGGCCATTCATAATTCTATGTCCGGCTTGCAGCTTAGAGCGAACACGTGACTCCACAGTTGGCCTTATACTTGAGCCTAGCCTGTATGCACTCCGACGGACACCCAGGCATCGTCCCCTCTGACACTTTGCTGTCCTGTTATGCCTGTCGCTCGCTCCAATGACATTTTGGCCATGTTTTACCTCTTGGGAGCGACCGACTGACGCGGCTATTGTCTCATTCTGTCCCGATTTGTTTTTGATGTCTATGATGTACCTTTTTTGGTTTCTGTGTGTTGGTTTAGGTCAGCGCTTTGCTATTCCATGGCTGCATTCACAAGCTTTCGGCATTCATGTCAGTTGTTTGCCGGCGCCCCGCTTGGCCCGCTCGCCCCTCTGCTGTGTTGCGGCTGATGCATTGTTTAATAAATTTTCTGCTTAGGCCAGCCGGATTTTTATTTTTTTCCCACCTAGGATACTGCTCAGCAACGGTAAAACTTGTTGGCAACTTCAGCAGTGTGGCACAAATTTCACAAAAGCCGTTGCGTCCGCTGCCGTTGCATGCTGCTTGTTGCACGACCAAGTTTGCAACGTGGCTGGACATAATGATGAAATTACAGCTGCTTTTAATTCTGATGATAGGTATCAGCGTGTTAGCTAATTTGCGTGTCGGCCATCAGCCCTTGCAGCAAACTTTATCCAAAAGTTTTAACGCCTTTTTGGGCTGATTTCATTGGCATCAGCTAAATTTAGCTGTAAACTGGTCTCATGAAAGCCATCAACTCCAGCAAAATGCGGCAAATTTAATTTGCCACTTGAGTTTAACTCAACGTTTCGTCAAGTTAGAAAATTACAATAAGGCTTTTTAAAATAAAGCTGCAGACGATCAAAGCCGAACATAATAGAAAGGAGCTTATTATCAATATATGTGGCTCTCGAGCTTAAAGAAGAGCCGCTCACGGACATTAACGCATTCACTTTGAGTATTGAGAACAATTAAAGATTTCAATTTGTAGGTAATTGAACAAAAATAAAAACTTTCGAAATTCAGTCCGAAATAAATATTCATTTGTTACCTTGGGTAAGAAATCGTCAAGGAAATATGATGCCTCACTGAAGTGGAGTGTTCGATGAAATTCTTTATGTTCGCTTATATGTAATGTTCAATGAAATATTGGCTTTTAGATGATGTTTTTATTTTAATAATCGAGCGCTGCATATCGAAATATCAAAAGCAAAGAGCTTTGGGAAGCATCGATTAGTCGATACTTGAATATTTTTGTGCATGCAGCAGATAGACCTTAGAATTATACATTTAAGACTAGGCACTGCACTGTCTGCTAACTGTCTCAAATGATGCACGCTGCCCATATCCTGCTCTTAATAGAAGACATTAAAGTTTTTGAGGGAAACCATTCTTTAGGAACCTAAGCAGTCTGGCTTGTTTGCCACAGGGGAACCTTTTTATATTGACTCCATAAAAAAGTTTCAAAATTGATTGGAACGCCTTCCAACAGAGGGCTTCTTAATACTCACTCACTAAAATGTCAAGCTCTGAAACATAGTTTACATTTATCTAAAGAATTCCAATATGCATTAACCCCTTCAATTGCAAATGTTGAAAACTTTGGAAATAACTCATAAAAACGCATTTGTATATCAATTAGCGTAGAGAAATTACTTGGAGTGGTTATAAAATCAAGCATGGCCTGGAAATCGAAAACTCACAAACATTATCTGCTAATTTGATTTAAATATGCATATTTTCTGCTTGTCAAATCGCATGCCGCATAATTACATGTGTCAATCTGATGTCAGAAAGTTCGCATAATAGTAGTTAATCACAGCTGAGAGCTGAAGAAACCTAAATTATTAAGAAATCAAGCAGCGGGCAAAGTTTTAATTAGTAAATATATTTCCAAGAAGCAGAAAAAGCAAACACACAAATTTACACGTATGACAAAAGCAATGTTTACATTAAAAACAAAACGGAAGTTCAATTTGTAACTCAATTTGTTTGCCAAGTGTGTTTTTTTCGCTGGTGTCGCATATAAATTGCGCGGAAAATGACAAAATAAAAGATGGGGAGCACAAAAAACAACATACAGAAATATTCAAATTAGCCCAGAGGACACACACACACACACACACACACACACACATGTTTATCTTGCGACCTTTTAATTTGAATTTGACCAAGAGTAGCCAGCACCCAGTGAATTAATGAACTAAAAAGAATGCAGCAAAAACCAACAGGCACCACAACCACCAAAACACCAGCCAGGGCAACGGAGCCACCGAGCCAAATCCGACTAAAACATGTTCAATTACGGAAATGCGCATTTGGTCTGACATTTTTATGGCTTACAGTGCGTATGTGCAATTTGCCGAATGCATAACTCTCAAGCATGCCGTGTGCAATTTAATTAGTGTTGCGAAACGCCAAAACAAGACCATTCTCAAGTGCCGCACAACGCCAACTTGCCACCATTTGTGGCTGCCACCGAATTTGCTAGCGGGCGCTTACCCATCTTCTCAACACTGCTATTTAAATTAAATATAAATTTGATATTCGGCTAGCCGAGAGTATATTCTCATTATTGTTTGGCTGTATGCGCAGGAGAGAGATGAAGTTTGCACAAATAATTGATGCAAAATGTGTAGCTGGATTTTTGGAGGAATTTAATATTGGGTTAATTAGCTGCATTTTGGTGAAAGTATTACATTTTAAGCGCAAAAGCAAATTGATAATCGTTGTCATAATAAGAGCGAGAGAGGAAGGAGAAAGAAGGTGACAGAGGGAAAAATACAACGCAAGTGCGCTGGATAAAAGTTTATTTGAATTCTACATTTGGTTGTATTTATATAAATGTTAAACTACGAAAAATTCATAAAATTTAAATTAAAAGGTCAAAGAGAGGTATGACAATAATTAGTTGAATCCTAAAATGTTGTTCATTGTTTATTTATAAACAATGATGAGGCCTTTGGAATGAATAATACGCATATTGGCTGAGATGTTTACCAACACTGAATTTTAAAAACAAAGGTAGTTTAAGTAAAAAATAAAATGTAGAGTATTTCGACTTCATTGTATCCACATTTTTATGTTCTACACTCTAGTTAATTTTCGCTTCTCTGAACAGCTTTAAACAGTATGCTAATTTTGTTACATTTATTAGCCAACACTGCGACTACATATGAGTTTGACTGGCGGGCAATTCGATTAGCATGTAGTATGCAGCGCCGAACAACAAGAACAACCATAGTTACAACAATAACAACACCTGCAGTGGCAATTTTACAGGCATG